AGACCTATTACCGTTAGATGAAGACCGTCTAATTGCGCTCTCAAATAATATTCACTCGTAATCTCAACCTCCTATTCTATAATGATACGCGCATTTAGGTCATTTCTTATTCCAAATGTCATTTTTGCCCTCTATCCAAGTTGCGCTGGGGTTGTGCCTTGTTCGGTGATTCATTGTTTATCCTTAGATCGAAACGTCTTGAATTTCAATTTGCTAGGCGTGCGGCAATTAAACTTGATTGGGGCTTACAATACGGCTTAATATTTGTACGGAAATTAGCAAATTAAAGTGTTATTTGACTCATTCTTGGTTGTATACATCCTTAACCTTTGATAAGTGTACATTTTGTCGGTTAAGTCCAAGTCTAAATCGGTGTGGCAATCCTGCTAGAGAAACAACTTGCTGTTTAATTGAACAGGCGGTAAGAAGTATCTGCTTTTTTAAACCAGTTTATTGAGTTACTAATTTTTTATATATTTTATTTGCTAGGTAAATACGTTGGTAATCGACCGATAAAGCTGAAGAAAAGTAACTGGCGCTCTCGACAATTGGAAGTCCAGAAGAAAAGGGATAAAGAAAAGAAAAAGCTTGGACTTAAAATATGATTAGCTTGGATCATGTTGATTGCTTAAAGCCAGCCAGACCAACTTGTAAATTTCCTCTTATGTATAGACACAACCTACCCGAACGGATTTTCACAATTTCTTCAATATACTCACCTATGATTTCATCGATATTGTTTTTGAATTCCCCGAATCTTGTTACATTAAGAAATAAGGGAGTACGCAGATGCATTTGTACCTTTGATAATACATATTTTTGTGTTTTTTATCGAATCGTAGTATTGCGGAAAATTGCTGTTTCTCTAGCCTTATGCCTAATTTGGAGAACGGACTGGCAGACTTCTTTTTTGTTTATAAGTAGGATTTCGAGACTACGACTAAGTCAGTTATATGAGATGTATCCACCATATTTCCTTTGAGGTAATGAAGGGCAATAATATGAGTAGAATTGAATTTCACATATCTTTACTTTTTTATAAAGTGTTCTCATCAAAGATGGACTACAGTTTCGACCTTTTCTAGGTCCTATCAACGCTCCTAGTGGGAGTCGAACCATGAGAGCGCAGCGTGTAATCTCCACACATTGCTACGATTGTCCCTGGGTAAAAGAGTTGTATTTGCAATGACAATCGATTTCATTACGTTTTTCCCGTTTATAAATAGAATTTTGTAGTGGTCTAATTTCGTTTTTCGCAACTGGGTCCTTTTTCATAGTAGTCATCTGATAACATAGTTAGAGAGACTTTCATTTATTATTTAAGTATATAAAGAGATTCGAAGGTCGATCTTACCAGAAGACGACAACATTGAACCTAGTCAAAGAAAGCATAACCACAACATTTGTGGGTTGGTGCACAAGAGGCTAGGTTATGATAAGTCATAGACTTGATATTAGAGATAGAAACAGGATAGACGCGGCGGCGATGGGAGCTAGTGTGTTGACATTAGTTTTTATAAGAGATGTGA